GGGAGTGAGTTTTATGATTGACCTAATAAGCATCCTATTCAACACATAACATGCAGTACTCACAGCGTCAGCCCAAAAATATTTAGGAACATTTGATTCATTTAGCATTGTTCTAGCAAGTTCCTCTAGTGACCTATTTTTCCTTTCTACTACACCATTTTGTTGGGGAGTCCTAGGTGCAGAAAAGTTATGCAAAATTCCATTTTCCTCACAATAATTTTCAAACCATTCATTTTGAAACTCTCCACCATGGTCACTTCTTAATACCTTAATTCTTAAGTCTTTCTTATTTTTGAATTTGCTTTGCAAACTTCCTAAAGACCTTAAACGCTTCACTTTTTAATGTTAAGAAAAATGTCCAAGTATATCTAGAAAAATCATCAACAATCACAAGAGCGTAATAATTTCCACCAAAATTTTTTATCCTAGATGGACCAAATAAATCTAAGTGTAATAATTCTAAAGGTTTTGATGTGGAAATAACATTATTTGATTTAAATGATGATTTTACTTGTTTACCCTTTTGACATGCATCACATAATCTATCTTTTTCAAACTTTAACTTAGGCAAACCAACAACTAAGTCCTTTGATATTAATTTTTTTAATTGATGCATATTTATATGAGCCGCTCTCTTATGCCATAACCATGGGTTTTCTTCCTTAGCAACTAAGCATGTTATACTAGTATGATGTATACAATCCAAATCAATCAAATAGATATTATTATGCCTAATGCCTTTCAATGCTACATTTTCGAAATTCAAATGTATGGTACAAAACTTACTTTCAAAGATTACCTTGAATCCTTTGTCACAAAGTTGACTTATGCTTAGGAGATTATGCTTTAGCCCATCAACAAGAAGCACATCCTTTATCTCCAAAGTGTTTGCACCACCAATATTTCCAATTCCAAGTATCTTATAGGTTACATATCCTTGTTCTTTAGCTTTGAAACTTACAAATTTCGTTTTGTCTCCGGTCATATGTTTTGAGCATCCACTATCAAGATACCACATAGACTTCTTGGATTTGGAAGTTTCCTACAAAACAAGAACATAGTAATCTTAGGTCCCCATAACTTTTGGGTCCTTGGGGTTAGAGACAAACAACTCATTTAACTATAGGAACCCAAACATATTTTCCTTTAGGAACATCAAAATGCTTAATTTTACATCTATTTGAAGTATGACCATGTTTCATACAATAAAAGCATGCATTGGATGTAATCTTAGAATATGATACATTTCTAACTATTGACGATTTAGTTCCTTTTTCAATCCATACTCTTCTATTTTTAATTTTAGGCTTTTTCAAAGGAACATGATGGATTTCTCTATTTTGAACAATAACAACTTTATCCTTATAGTTATCACATATTTCCTTCTTAGCTTTATCAAGCAAATGTCTAAACAAATCAAGTTCATATTCATACTCTTTACATGATGCACATGCTATATTCTTATTATCCTTTTCTTCTAAACATGCAATTTTCGTTTTTAAGGACTCCACCTCTTTTTCTGATTTATTCAAACACTTTTTCACAGATTTATATTCATTTTTCAAGTCCTTAAAAACATTAAACAATTCTCCATATGCATTGTAATTTATCAAAGTTATTTTCATCATCACTTGAGGAAGAGTCGGAATCACTAACCTCAAAGTCGGAAGATATATTGTCTTTTGCCATCAAGCAAATGTTAGCTTCTATTTCCGAATCACTTGACTCCGAACTTGAGTCATTATCATCCCAAGCAATGTAAGCTTTCTTTTTGAAGAATTTCTTGCCTTTGTTATCTTCATTCTTCTTGTTTGGACATTCGGTTTTTACATGTCCTGTTTCACCACAACCATAACATTTTATATTTAAAGAAGTACTTTCTCTTACCTTTCCCTTACCTTTGAAGGGTTGCTTTCCTTTGGCTTTCATAAACTTGGTAAATTTCTTTATCATAAGACTCAATTGTTCTTCTTCTTCATTTTCTGAGTCTTCTTCTACCTTCTTGTTCTTACTCTTGGAAATTTTGGTTTTGAAGGCTAAGTTCCTATTTTGGTGTTGACCTTCTTCGTTATTTAACCTTCCGAGTTCAAGTTCGTACTCTCTTAATTTTCCAAAGAGCGCCGCCATAGACATTGTTGCTAAATTTTGTGACTCCGTAATGGTCGTCACCTTAGGTTGTCATTTCCTATCCAAAGATTTCAAGATTTTTACATTTAATTCATCAACATCAAAATTTTTACCTAATACGGTGAGATGATTCACTATGTGTGTGAAACGCTTTTGAACGTCAAAGATTGTTTCTCCTTGTTGCATCCTGAACATCTCATATTCTTGGATCAATGAATTTTTCCGTGCTCTCTTAACGTCATCGGTACCTACGTGGGTCACTCTTAACATTTCCCACATCTCTTGAGCACTTTTACAAATGGAGATCCTGTAAAACTCATCAAGGGTTAACGCAGATGAAATTATATTTCTAGCCCTAACATCATATTGGGATTTTCTATTTTCCTTCGCCGTCCATCTAGAAAATGGTTTTGATACTTCTACTCTGTTTTCAGAAATTTTAGGAATAAAGGGACCATTTAAAATTGCGTCCCAAACACCTCTATCAACAGACTCTAAAAATATTTGCATTCTAACTTTCCAGAAAGGATAATTTTGCCCCGCAAAAAGTGGGGGTCTATTGATAGAAGCACCCTCGACAAACGTTCGAATTTGTCCGGCCATTTTTGAAAAATTGAATGACTATCAAAGCAAGCTCTGATACCACTTGTTAGAATCACGCAGCGGAATGTTTGCGTATCCGAACAAAAACCAAGAGGGGGGCTGAATTGGTTTCTTAACAAAAATTAGGGTTTTAAAAATTTTCCTAAATTTCACCGATTAAATTGTTGTGTAAAGTAAATAGAGCAAGGACAGAGTCTTACACAGATGATTTATACTGGTTCGGATCAAAAGACCCTACGTCCAATTGCTAATCACTCAAACAGAGGATTAACGTGTTGAACATACAAGGATTTGATGTTGAACTTACATGGACAAGAAGCTTGTTGATTTTGATGATGATTCAAGAACGAAGAACTTAGAGAGTTGAAGACTTGTATTATTGTGTAATAACTCTATTTTGATAAGTTTGAGTCTGTAATATTAGAGTCTAAGATAGTCGGTACATAATCTACTCTTTAGAAGCTTCAAAAACTCATATTTATCAAAAAGTCTCGGGTTGAATCGATTAAAACACCAAATAATCGATTATCACAGTGAGAAAAACCATTTTCTGTTTCAACTCATTGTGTTAATCGATTAACTCACCTGTTAATCGATTAACAGGCCAGTTAATCGATTAACAGGGCATTTAATCGATTAAACCAGTGCGTGTTGGGGTTCTGTTGATTTTGGCTTTGTAATAATCAATTAACACTTCATTTAATCGATTATTTCAGTCAGATTTTGATTTTTAACTTCAAATTAAACCTATTTTCGAAAACCCTAATCCCAATACTCCAAGTTCCGAAAATCCCCAATTCCCAAACCTTAATTCATCTACTTAAGGTTCTCTAAGGCTCTCAGAAAATTGAACAACCTTTTTCAAACAAAAGTTAAGTGTTGTGAGTGCCAGAGAACTGTTTGTTGGAGGAAAAAAGGGGCTTTTGGAACCTGGTGTGGGATAGAAGCGATAAGAATCACTAAGTGGAGTTCTTAGTGGATTGTGTGTTGTGCCGTCTCTAGGGAAAGTTGTTCTTCATCTCTTGTGGGTTTCAAGAGAGGTGTTTTCTTTACTTTATCTTTTCAATTGTTATCTGTTTGTAACAACTTTGATTATAGTGACAGCGTTAATTCTCTGTTTGAGTGATTAGCAACTGGACATAGGGTATTTTGATACGAACCAGTATAAATCTCCTGTGTAAGACTCTATCTCTATTCTATTTACGTTTACACAGTATTTTAATCGGTAAAATTTTGGGAAAATTTTTAAAACCTAATTTTTGTTAAGAAACCAATTCACCCCCCCTCTTGGTTTTTGTCCAACAACGCGAACATTCCGCTGCTCGATTCTAACATAACGTTGTCACTATAATCACGGTTATTCAATCAGATTACAAATAAGAAGATAAGGTAAAGAATACACCTCTCTTGAGTCAACAAGAGATGAAGAACAACTTTGCCTAGAGACGGCACAACACACAATCCACCAAGAAAACCCACTTAGTGATTCTTATCGCTTCTAGCCCACACTAGGTTCCAAAAACCCCTTTTTCCTCCAACAAACAGTTCTCTAGTAGTCACAACTCTCAACTTTTGTTTGAAAAAGGTTGTTCACTTTTCAGAGAGCCTTAGAGAACCTTAAGTAGAAAGATTAGGGTTTGGGAATTGGGGATTTTCGAAACTTGATGAATTGGGAATAGGGTTTTCAAAACTTGGTCCAATTTTGAACTTCAAAACACATATCTGACTGAAATAATCGATTATTCCAGAGCTAAATTCACTTGGAACCCAAAACCACTCAGTTTAATCGATTAACTAAGCAATTAATCGATTAACAGCCCTATTAATTGATTAACAGAGGCTTTAATCGATTATTCTAGAGAGCAGATGCTGAAAATTGTTTTTCTCTCTGTAATAATCGATTATCCTGTCATTTAATCGATTAATCTAGTATGTTTTTGATAAAAATGAGTTTTTAGAACCTTTAAGGAGTAGACTATGTGCTGGCTATCTTGGACTCTTATATTACACACTCAAAATCATAAAAACAGAGTTATTACATAATATTAAAAGTTTTCAAATCTTTAAGTCCTTTGTTCTTGAATCATCATCAAAATCAACAGGCTTCATATTCATATATGTTGAACATTCATATCCTTGTATGTTTCAACACTCTAGTCGTCACCGCTCCTCCATCTCTAGCCATGGCGCCACCCAGTTAGCTGCTCCTCATCGCACATCCCATGCCATCAGTCGAAACTCCTTTTCTTTCCCCTCTGTTACCACCCAAAATGTTGCGCCTCTGTCGTGCCTCACAGTCTCCGCTACTAACCTTAGCTGCCATCACAAACCATCATTCAACTGCGGACCACTGTGAGACATGCCTCCATCAAACCATCACGTCCCTCACCACAACCACCATAGGTCTCGGTCGCGCCAACCACCGCATGCCTTCAAAGCAAGTCACCTTCCCACTCGTGCCACAGTTGTCGCAAGTGGTGTCCCTGGAGTAGCACCGAGTCTCCTGCTTGAAGGTGAGGCTGTGAGCAAGCTTCCCTATGGAGGTTGAACCCGAGGCCCGAAATCCATGTTTTGGGTCTCGTTTTGTTTGATTTGCCTTATGTTTCCGCCTTATCCTGATATGGTATTGCATTTCTAATTAGGCTTTTTGTTTCTAATTGGTTTAGTTTTGTTTCTCTTTAAGGTTTTGGTCTCTGATTGATTCAGTCTGCAAGATTTTGACCAGATGTTGGCTTTTGCCTAGTTTAGATTTGATTTTACTTTGTTGCTTTGTTTATGTGATTGTGGATTAGGACTGCTGGCTGATCTCAAAGTATGTGTTTGGTTCAAATGGGTTTGTCGGGTATAATTGGGGTTTCTAATGATGTGCATCCTAAATTTGGGATTTTTGGTGTTGGAATGTATATACGTGTTGATCTATCAATTTTTTTTTTAGATTGTTAAGGACTGTGAGTCCCATAGTTGGTTTATGTCATTTTGTTGTAATTGGTTTATGTCATTTTGTTGTAGATGGTTTATGTCATTTGGGTGTGGTTATGCTGCAGAAATTTTGTTCTTTAGTTTGGGTCTAAAGCATTTTTTTAGTTTAGGTTGATAATTGTTTTACTTGGTTGTAGTAATTTGAATGTATATTGGACAATTAGTTGAAAGTTCATAATTGTGGGGGGTTGATTCTTATTTTATGCATCTAGGGCTGTCGGCCCAACGTACCGATCTAGGGTTGTCGGCCCCGCACACCGATTTAGGTTATTCGGACCTAGGGCATAAACTTTGAGGTACGGGTACGACCGCTCGCATCGTCATGTCCTCTCCTTTTAAATAAACTTTGAGGTACGGGTACGACTACTCGCATCATCATGTCCTCTCCTTTTAAATAAACTTTGATGTACGAGTACGGCCGCTCGCGTTGTCATGCCCTCTCTTTTTAAATACATTTTGAGGTACGAGTATGGCCACTCGCGTCATTATGTTCTCTATTTTTAAATAAATTTTGAGATACGGGTATGACCACTTGCGTCATCATGTCTTCTATTTTTAAACAAACTTTGAGGTATGGGTACGACCACTCGTATCGTTATGTCCTCTATTTTTAAATTAACTTTGAGGTACAGGTACGACTATTCGCGTTGTCATATCTTCTCCTTTTAAATAAATCTTTGAAATACAGGTATGGCCGCATACGTCATCATGTGTCTTCAAAACGTCAAAAACAATATTCAAAACCCAAAACAAAATACAAAACTTTTTCACAAAAACAAAAATTTTCAAAACATTAATCAAACACACAAACATTTTCTACAAAGAACTACATGACCCTGATTTCTCATTTTGAATGAGAATATGTAGGAACAAGGTCAATCATTGTTGGGCCCCAAAAAAACTAAAAAAATATTTTAGTCCATTTCTTTTCTTTTCGTCCTTTTTCTTTCTCTATTTTCTGATTTTGGAGGAAAATAAATATTTTTAAAATGATACTTAATTTCCCAATTCGACAAATGGTAACCGTCTTAGGACGGATGTTGTAGGGTGATAATACCTTCCTTACTCGTAACTGACTCCTGAACCCGAATCTGGTTTTTATAGACCTTGTCTTATCTTTATGATTTTTCCATAGTTTTCCTGATTAAACTATAGTGGCGACTCCAAAACTCTAATCTGATGATTTTTAAACCTTTTAAAATTTAGTTCGTCATCCCGTCACGATTTCAGTTGCGATAGGAAGCATCTCATATTTTACTGGGTAAGCCGTGACAATTTGATAAACAAACTTTTTACTATACTAGCAAATTTTTTTTTTACCTTCCAAGGGCGCAAGATCACTTTGAAACCCCTTTCACCTCAAGAAGTTAGTAAGAACCAAGAAAAAAATGCAAAAAAAGAGAAGAGAAGAAAAAGAAAAAGAAAAGAAAGAGAAAAGGTCGACTCCAAAGGTGAAGGGCAACATGATCTGTCACAAAGGGGTTAAGAAGGTACTTCTAGCTCAAAAACCTTTCCTCTTAGCCTATTGATGAGTCATTATATTCCCATATTTTCTTAACTTTCTATACTTATTTTAATTAGTGTTTTGGGCTTAACTTTCTGTTATTAGTGAATTTTTATTAATTGGGCTTCATTGGACCAATAATTCAGATTTTAATTAATTTGAATCTATTTGATCTAATTTTTTATCATTATTATTTTCAGGACAGTTTAAAGCAATTTTGGGCTTGGAAGATTGGGCCAGATGTCATGTCAACTGTCCATTAGAATCAGTTTTTTATGTTTTTTTTCTATGACGTGTTTTGTGGGCCAATTAGACCAAAACCTAGATTAAGATTAGGGTTAGGGTTATCTATATAAAGGAGAGCCAACCAAACATCAAAGAGACCAAGGAAAAACGCGCAGCCACATCGCACAACTGACCTTTGCTCAGTGATAAGGACATATCTAGAGCTAAGATACTCCAAATTGGGCGATTTAAAGTGTGTTGTAAAGATAAGAGGCAAGGCTCCAATTGTCTCTCTCATGAGTATTGTTAAATTCCAATTGGAAGGTAGCCAAAATTGAAGTCGAAAATTCACTACGGAATCTGCCTACATATGTCTCTTCTTCTGCGTTTTCGATTTTTCATGGATAGCTAAATCTTTATATTGATTTTCTGAGGAGAATGCAATAGATCTTTGAGGTTTTGTTATTCTATTTCATTTGTTCTCTTAACTCTTCATCTCTTAATCTCAGTGTTGAATTATAATATGTTTATACTTAATAAACTGAAACTAATATCACAGTTTGCTTAATTCTGTGTTAGAGATAAGATTATGTGATGTATGCAATGCTTAATTGTATAAGGATAATTTGGGATTAATCTTCGCTTAGTTGGTTAATTTCATATTGGAATAAGGGTTAAAACTAATTTGTGATTAATCTTCGCTTAGTTGATTAATTTCGAATTGGAATATAATTTGGAATTTATCTTCGCTTAGTTGGTTAATTTTGAATTAATTTCGTAACCTAGGATAAGTGACACTGCATTGGAATCAGGAAATCAATTGCATTCTAATATGGTTTTAATCCACATTTTTATAATCTATTTTTGTTCTGGTTCATCTAATATTTTAAATCTGAACAATTCCCCTTTTATTTTTGTTTTAATTCAAAAAATTGACAAGCTTTGATAGGAATTCGTGGTCTTTGGGAGACAACCTAGGAAAGCTTCCTAATACTACATTTATCTGTTTTAATTATTTGACCGAGTACGACATCGATCAAATTTGGGGTTGTTGCTAGGGACCAAGATTTTTGTCTAGGTTTTCAATTTTTATTTTCTTTTTCTAGTTTTATTTTCTGTTATTTGAATATTTTATTTTATTTTTAGTTATTTGAATATTTTATTTTACATTCTTATTTCTATCAATGCTATTTTGATAACCCACTGTTGGGTTCCTTCAAAAACTCTTTTGAAAAAAAAAATTCAATTTTTTTTCTTCTAATTTATTTTCTAGCTTTATATATATATATATATATATATATATATATATATATATATATATATATATATATATATATATATATATAGTTATTATAATCTTTCTTGTGTGTTTCCCAAATCAATTTTGTAAGAAAATTCTTGAAAATCATTCTCATAGGAAACTCTGGATATAACTTGGTTACGTGAGAGTGCATGTATAAGAGGGTTCTGACTAGGAAAGACTTGGTACTTAAGCTGTCCATTAGTGACTCACCTCTCTTTCCTGGGAACCTACCTGGTGTACTTATTCACGGTTTACCGTTGCCATTCCAGTAATCAAGTGATTTCTTTTTAGGATTTTTTGGTTGAATCTTGGGAAATACATGAAGTGTTGCATATAGTGCATGCCTAGGAGCAATCCTGACCTTTTACAACCTTTTGATCCTGAGATAGACAAGATCTTTCATAGATTAATTAGATGTTCTATGAATTCATCTCTTGAGTCTGAACCATTAGATAGTCTTAGTGATAGTACTACACCTAATATACCTTCTTCTAATAATTTCCAAACTGATAACATGGGTGATCAACATGTTGGACCTCGTGAGAGAACACTTAGGGAGCTTGCTGCCCCTGAATTCACTTATGATAGCTTATGTATCTAGTATCCTGATGAAAATGTGCCTTATGTTCTTAAAACTGGACTCATACACTTGTTGCCCATGTTTCATGGTTTTGCAGGTGAAGACCCTCACAAACACTTAAAGGAATTTCACATTGTCTGTTCCACCATGAAACCTGCGAATGTCCAAGAAGACCATGTGTTTTTGAAGGCTTTTCGTCATTCCTTGGAGGAAATTGCAAAGGATTGGTTGTACTACTTAGCCCCCAGGTCCATTACCAGCTAGGATGATCTGAAAAGGATGTTCTTGGAGAAATTCTTCCCTTCCTCTATTACCACTACAATCAGGAAGGATATCTCTAGAATTAGGTAACAGATTGGAGAAAACCTCTATGAGTACTAGGAAAGATTCAAGAAGCTATGTGCAAGATGCCCCCGCCACCAAATATCCGAACAACTACTGCTTCAATATTTTTACGAGGGATTGAGTAACATGGAAAGAAGTATGATTGATGCTGCAAGTGGTGGTGCACTTGGGGATATGACTCCTACAGAGGCTAGACAGTTGATAGAGAAAATGGCCTTGAATTCCCAGCAATTCAGTGTAAGGGGTGATGCAATAGTTATCAAAGGAGTAAATGATGTGACTACAGACTCCTCTACTGAAATAAGAAAATTGGACAACAAAATTGATGCCTTAGTGAATTTAGTCACTCAACTTGCTGTAACCCAGAAGAATGAGGTTGCACCTGAAAAAGTTTACGGTATTTGTACTCCCATAGATCATTATATAGATGGTTGTCCCTCATTACAATCTGTATAACTAGATGCTCCACAAGCTTATGCTGCAAACATTTACAACAATAGAAGTCCACAACAGTAGTAAAATTTTGACTTAGCTTCAAATAGATACAACCCAGGTT